CCACCGCCGCCGCCGCCCGCCCGGCTGAGAGCAGTAAGAACTCCTAAGTGCTGAGCCATCTCCAGCCTCTGAACACACTGACCAGGACCAGGACTGCAGGACCAGGGTTTCTCTCAGCTTCGCATCCCTGACACTGGCACAGCATTCCTCAGTACCGCTACGTGGTAAGGAATTGGTAGCAGAAAAGGCAGAGAGCTAGGGAATGCTTCAGACCTAAGCCCAAAGCTCAGTCCTGCCAGAGCTTAAAGGCTGGCTGTAGAAACAAGGAGTCATGACAAGACCCTGACTTTCTAAGCATTCTGGACCAGAGCTTGGGAGAGTTGAGGGAACTGGTCATTTAGGTCAACACACCACTGCCTAATACTGCTGGGTGGGGGTACCAACAAGACTATAAAATCTTACATGAGCCTCAGAGAGCAGAAACATCTGCTAAAGCCACAGCGGGCAGGCTGGCCAAGTTCAGCAATGGGTGAGCCAGGACAGCCCTGTGACCAGTTGAAAGGGCCACAGAAGGGAAGAATCAATCATCTGGGTGCGGAGGGACAGGAAGGATGAGCAGTGACACCAGGCCAGACATTCACAAGTAATGGGGTCTCCACTGTCTGAGAGTTAAGCTAAGCTACTGGCTGGCTCCTCAGGTGACCTTCCCCTCACATCCTCAGCGCACCCCAGATCCGCAGCATGGCAAGCTGGTGTTTTCTCCTTTTCTGAGGACCAAGGTATGCTCAGCTAGCTCTCTGCTCACAGACTCAAGAAATCTAAAGGAAATAGATAATATGTTTGACAGCCAACACCTCTGCTTAAAGGGTTTCCTTTTTCATATCAACACTTCCATGAATCCAGAACTTGATCAACTCTTTGCTACACAGTTTGACATTAACAAAACAGCAGCACTGACAATCTGCTGGTGTCAGAAAGGAACATCTTAAAACTCTTTGGACTCTACATGAAGACAAGGTTCCAGTTCCAATCTTTGATCTCTATTATAAAGCACTACCAATAAAATATCCTCGAGATTTACGGGCGGGCTTTCATTCGAGCTGTTTCACACCTAAAATAACATGCACGGCTAGGCCAGCAGACAGAAAGTTTAAGTTTAGGTTTCAACTGTTTAGGTTTTCTTTTACTTTTAAAACTTAATTCACATATTTATTTTTTTCTAATTACCTTAAAACCTAAAATTAAATTATATTTCTTTCCCAGAGAAGACATTAGCTGAGCAGATGTCACAGCCTCTGAAAATAACAGGTTCAAGTTCAGATACACAGTTGTCCCCATCCTAACAGGACCATTTCTATCAAAAAGAAAGGGTGGATTTTTAAAATTTAAACAGACTCTATTCAAATTTATCTTTCTCTTGCCTATGTTTCCTTGTTAGCAAAAGTCATTGAATCCTTATACTGTGAGTCAAATCCCAACAAGAAGAATTTCATTTAAAGCCAGTGAGCCAGGATCTGGACCCAAGACTGGTTCAGTGTATATTGTTCTGCTCTCTGGGGTCGCTCCCCAACCCAAGCTCAGATTGTAACTCTGGCCATCAGTCACTTATAAGTCAGCACCCTAATGAAAAGAAGTCAGAGCCACATTTCCTATAGATGGGAAATCAACCGGAATGCCCATCCCCCTTCCCTGGAGTGACCGAGTTGGGAAAAAATGATTTGGCCAGATGAGAGAACAGAGAATGTACACAGGGAAAGGCAGCTCACCCAGCTTTTAAGACCTTTATAGGCAAAGTAAAGTGAAAACAGCAGAAAAGTTCCTGGACACAGTCCTGCAAGAAACAAAACCGAGTAGGAAGAAAGGTCAGAGCCGCGGTTCAAAAGCATCAGAATGCACAGCTCCTGCTGTCCAAGGCTGTGGGCCGCGCCTCAAGCTCCTGCCAAGCTGGAGGCAGGGCTGGGCAGTGAAGGCTCACAGCCCTCCTTTCCCCAGCTTTCCACCTTCAGAGGTCAGCAGCAGCCCCACCAGCACTGCCGAAGACAGCCACACAACCAAAGTAAAGGGAACAGAAAATGAAACACCTAGTTATTGATCCAATTTTATTCTTTTGTTTCTAATTTTGAAACTGAATTCCTGGTTATAAAAGGACAATGCAGCTGCAAGACAAGGAAAGATACCTGCTCAGAGGAAGGGGCTCTGATGGCATCTAAAGTTCTCAGCTCATCAGACCAGAAGGGCAGAGTTAAACTACTGTAAATGGAGAGTGTTTTACACTTACTCACTTGAAACAGCCTTCAAGTGCAGCAGATTACTTCAAAGATGGAGCTTTCCATCACAACACAAGGGAGCTGGAAGCTCCTCTTCCTTCTTGCAAGTCTGGACCAGGAAAAAGCTGGCTTTGGCCAGTACCACTGTCAGGAAGGAGTACACATGGGACACCTTCAGCTTGAGGTGAAGCGGAGTCAGTGCACAAGTATCAGAATTGCATCCTCAGATGGTCAAGCTAAGAAGGGAGGCTTTGGAGTTTAAAGAGACAAAATTGAATAAAGGTCACTCCCCCAAAAGTGGGTGTGCACACAGGTGTACATACACACATCCTCCATGTGAGTGCATTTTTTGTGTATGTGAATGCAGACATGCACATGCCATGGTGCATGTATGGAGGTCGGAGGACAACCTTGAGTGGTGGTCCTCATCTCCCAACTTGCTTGAGACAGGGTCTCTCTTGTTCAGTATGCTTCTGTGGCCTGACTTAATAGCATCTAGACAACATAGCACCAAAGGACTAAACCTTTCTGGGGAGCATCAGGAAGTAGGAGTTCAGAGAGCCAGGAATACATATGTTTTCAATGCCTTGTTTGGTAAATTGTGGAGGGAGCAAGAGAAGTCAGCAAGAACTAAGAGAAAGGGGAGGTTGTTTTATAAACAGAATAAAAATGCTTGTGGTGGTGGTGGTAGTGGCGGCGGCGGCGGCAGCGCACACCTTAAATCCCAGCACTTGGGAGCCAGAGGCAGGTGGATCTTTGTGAGTTCAAGGCCAGCCTGGTCTACAGAGCGAGATCCAGGAAAGGCGCAAAGCTACACAGAGAAACCCTGTCTCAAAAAACAAAAACAAAAACAAACAAACAAACAAAATGCTTGGGCCCAAGGCTATGTGAAAACGTAGGCCCTGGAAGACCTCTTTCTTGGTCCTCTGCAGCTTCTACCTAAAATAAACAAGTATCTGGAGAAGCAGCAGCCAGACAATGAGGACACACTGTGAGGCAGAGTCCATAGCCTGGTGTTCCTCCTGCCAACAGTGGGGGCACACAGGCAGTTTGCAGTGGAGGGAGACTAGGAAGCTAGATCCCTTTTCTGGGTGATAATGTTTGGAAATTCTCAGAATAGAGTAAATATGGCACCTGGCTAGTCTCTGGTTCCTGAGAGCTGGGGCCAAGCAAGCAATATCTAGCTCCCAGAATGCCTTGAGATGGGTTGGCAGGAGCAGGAACAGACGTTTTACCTTGGTACAGTTAATGATCAAATACCAAAAGTCATGTTCTAGAGCATAGTACTGGGGAGGGAAGGTTCAAGCTATTGAGTGAATGTCAAGACACAGCCCCAAATAAGATGAGTCATATGAGTAGAGGAGCGCGCACCACCAGGGAACAAAAAGGCTAGAAGAACCCATGACCTACAGCGGAGGATGGGGCGAGCCATGCATGCTCTTTTATTACAGCTATCTCCAGGGCTGACTGCAATGCCTATAGATGCCTGGTGCTTAGAAATTACTTGTTAAAGGGATGGATTCTCATAGTTACTTGCAGGGATGTGCCAGCTACATAGGATGGAACAGATGTATTTATTTCTCCCTCTGCCTCTGTGTGTGTGTGTGTGTGTGTGGTGTGTGTGTGTGTGTGTGTGTGTGTGTGTGTGTGTGTATGTGTGTGAATGTGTATACACAACTGTAAAGACCAGAGGCCAACAAATTGAGCATCACTATCCACCTTATTTTTTGAGATAGAACCTTTCACTGAACCCCAAACTCATTGATTGGCTAGACTTGCTGACCGTGAGTTCTGGGGATCTTTCTCCCCCAGCTCCCACTTGTGCTAGTATTATAAACACTTGTCACCATACTCTGCTTTTATGTGGGTGCTGAGGATTCAAACTCATGTCCTTATGCTTGAATGGCCAATGTTTTACTTATTGAATCACCTCCCAGCCCTGAGAAGGGATATAATTTCTTCCTTTCATAGCTGAGGTGAAGGACATCTAACAGCAGGAGTGTCCATCTTGGGGACTCTGTGGGCCACCTGTAAAGTGCAAGTCAGGACAGGCTTGGTACCCACATTTAGCACAAGGGTTGAAACAGTTTCTCAAAGGCCTATTGTTGACAGAGAACTGTCATTCCACTCTATCCACCGTGTGAGAGTGGCCACACATCGCACAAAAGACTGGATGTGCTATCCGATCTTTTTGTATAGTTATCCAAACTATACAAAAACCAGCATCTGGTGTGAGCTGTTTCTTAGGCCCTTCTTTGGAGCAATAGTTTGAAAGCTGATCACTGTTGGAGGAATTTGACAAGGTTGCTCTGAAGATGAGATCTGAGATGAAAGCTTTGGCTTCTTTTAAGAAAATGTGCAGTAACAGAGGGCAAGCATATTCCCAGTGCCAAGCCCATATTTTAGACCTTACTAGATTTGTGAAAAAAATTCAGAAAAGACAAGTTCCTCACAAATTAAAAACAAAAACAAAAAAGGAATACTAAGTGGGAACACTTTGTAAAATCTAGGAAACTGAAAGCTGATCTGTACCTTCTGAACCAAGTAGACACTTGTGGCTCTCTCAGCAGCCACCTTATCCAGAGAGGATCCCTCAGGAACGAAGTAACTCACATCGGCGATGTGGACGCCCACTTCAAAGGTGCCTGTAAGCAGATAAGAAAGAGCATCAGACTGGTTGGAAGGTTAGCAGAATCTCTCCTGGGATCCTTTCCAAGGGTGCCTGTCACTCTCACAGGCTCAGGCCCTGACGCAGGAACCACTCACTGTTCTAGTCCTGCCAGCTACTTCTAGCTCCTGTGACGAGTGCTGCTGTCACTTTCCTCATCCTACACCAGAAAGATGAAGAGGCTTTTACTCTGGAGAAATGAGAGTGCCGTCTTCACAAACTATTTCCCATCTCCAAAGGCTTCTTATCTTGGGGTAAACTCATGACTACATTTGCAAAAGACAGGCCGAGTGGGTAATAAGTTGATTCTTCCAGGTTACGAGCAATGAGTTGGTTCCCTAACCTATAAGGCACTGTTTCTGGAAGCTCTGCTCTTCACTGGCCTGCCCATCCCGCCCCTGTACCCCTCACTTAGCCCTTCTGCTGTCATGCTTCCAAACATGCACTTGGTGACGTCACTTCTGAGCTCACTGTCCATGTCCAGGCATGGTCTCGCCTCAACTGACATCGGTAGCCTGGCAGCCCATCTTTCACACACTGTGGAGGCAGTTGCCACGACAACCTTTCTACTCTGAATGCATCCATCTTACTTTATCCCATTCAGAAGCTTGTCTGGCTGGTTCTTTTTTGCTATGCTTGGACTATCTCAGCAGGATCTGCAATCAGCAACCTCCTTACCTAAAAAGGGTCTACTTAAAGAGAATCTCCAAGCAAGAAGAGGTTTTTCTGTCCTCTCTTTACTTGTCTGCTTAAACACCTATTGTGTATCCAATGATACTGATTGTGGTTTGTCCCCAGAACGCTCATCCTTGCCAGGTATCATAGCATACTTTCACTGGCTTAAATGTTCCCTGTCTACCTCTCTGGAGGTAACAGAGCAAGCACAGCAAATAGGGCCTTTCTTGACTGTCCATGCTCAGTGCCTATAAGAGTGCCAGTACACAGTGGGCACTCAATATTTATTGAATAGAATCAATAGCTTGCTTGTTCCTCTCTCCTGTCCTTCCTTTCTTCCAATAGCTCGTCCTCTACAATGTCCACCAAAGAGGCAGTATCCAGGTGGGTGGAACTGTCCCTTAGGGCCACAGGAGAAGTAGTTTATAAACTTAAGATTTACTCTTACTTGTCCTATTAATCAACTTTCAAGTATGGTATGCCATATGAATATAAATATACATACATGTGGCTATACACACATGTGATACATCCATGGATGTACTTATGTGTGTGTTTATGGAAATACACAAAATGGACAGCATCTACAGAGAATATGCTCATAAAACAAGCATTTAGCTTGGAGAAAGATACACTGAAGATACAGGCACAGGGTGTATTAAACTAAGCACACCCTGTGGTGCAGTCCCACTACCTCCCATCCCTGTTGACAGTGACGACTCTTGGCATAGGCACAGGACCCAAACAGAACTTCTCTGAGCCTGTTTGCAGGTCCAACATGGACTTCATCCAAGAGAGTCTCTCCTGTGAACCCAGAAACGAGGGATAACATAGCTTGTAGTTGTCAGGAACCACCTTCATCCACATACTCAAAGTAACATAGAAAATAACAAGTCTACGAAATACGGAAAAGTCCAGGGTGACCTCATTTGACCTCCAGGATCCAGTTGAGGTTGAACCTAGTCTATTTGTCTACTTGGCCATTCCTGAGCTAATGAATACTCTTTCGGTTCTGACTCATTGAGAGCCTCATATGATATCAAGGAGCTTATTAGCATGTCCCCATTTGCTCCTTGGGTGACCTGTGTGACCAATCCTAGGGCATCAGACATTCTTAATTTAAAAAAAATTACATTCTTATTTATGTGTAGGTATATGTGTGGGTTGGAGGTAAGCATGCCATGATATACATGTGAATGTTAGAGAAAAACTTGAAGGAATCAGTTTTCTCCTTTCGCCATGTGAACTCTGGGGATCAAAAACTCAGATCATCAGACTTGGGGACAGGAGCCTTTACTCACTGAACCATATCACTGGCCCATCAGATATTTTATATGAAACATTTATAGCTTTTTACCAATTTCCTATTCCTCCTGCCTAGGGAGTTTTTAAAAATGGGGTGCTTCAAACGAAGAGTTCAGACAAGGCACAGAATTTATTCTTCAATTGTTCTGACACACAGAGATTCTCCCATTAAGTGTCCTTTGGGTTTTTCTGCACAGCTTTGTAGCATTTACAAAGGAGAAGCCAAGTCTAAGGTAGCTGAGGGCTGCTATGGGATGATGCAATGGGCTTATCTTCCATAGGGAAAAGGCTGGCTGGGGAGCGGGGAGAAACCAGTCTGATTCCAAGTTGAGCAGCCTCACTCTGATAAACACAGCGATGGCGCTGGGTGGACATGCCTGCTATGGCTGATGCTCTAGGAACTTTACTCCAAGCAACCACAGGCAGAAGTCTTAGATGTCTCAGCTTCTAAATTCTGATATTTTAAATATTTAAAACCAACACTCGACAAAGGTAAAATAGAGGGTCTTCTTTTGAAGTCAGGATTATAATATGTGTGCCTCACAGGTAAATATTGACTCAAGGAAAAGAGAGATGACTATTACATCATGATATAAACCATCATTTTAAACTTGGGCTCTGTGTTACTATACATGAACTTTCTGAACTTAGTGAAAATTGACAAACTGACAAAGAGTTCGTTACAGGAGATAAAACACAGTGGAGGCCAATCTAAATATATTTGAGGGACTTGAATTTCGTTCTGAATTCCCTGCAGAGCCTCTTAACCCAGCAAAAGACACCCTCTTATTCTCTACTTTGGATGTTTTTTATGAAAACTCTAAATAAATATTTTATTACATATATTTTCATAACGTGAACTTGCAGAACTCTCAAGACAGTGGCACTAAAGCTTTAATTCTATGAAAGAAAATACGCACCTCAAAGGCCAGGCACGGAGTTTGCTGTCAGTGCTGTTTTTAAAACGCCCCTCTTAACGTCTATTAAAAGAATATAATGGGGCTGGAGAGACGGCTCAGCAGTTAAGAGCACTGGCTGCTCTTCCAGAGGACCTGGGTTCAATTCCCAGCACCCACATGGTAGCTCACAACTGTCTGTAACTCCGTTCCAAGGTATCCAACAGCCTCACACAGACATACATGCAGGCAAAACACCAATGCACATAAAATACAAATAAATAAATTATAAAAAGAATATAAAAATTTCCCTTAAAAACTTAAAAAAAATAGTTTTCTATCTACTGGGGCAAAGGGGACTCCCATGAGTTTTGAGGAGCAGTGAAACAGAGAGAAAGAATTCTCCAAGGCCATTCATGACCGTCCCAGAGACCACAAAGCTCAGAGGATCACAAACATTCCTTTGAATGACCTGAGGAGAGCATCAGAACCTCTTCATTCCTGTAAAACACTAAGAGACTACAGCCAGGGCTTAGAAACCATCCCTCAAACCAGCTTCTCAGCTGGTGCAACCCCTTCACCACAGAGTCCTTGCCATGTCCCCAGGGGTAGGGCTGTCCTCAAGGTGGCACCTGCTCTGTTCTGAAGAGCCCCACTTATGAGAAAGGGTTTTCTTTTTTCAAAGATATTAGCATTTTTGAGAGAGAGAGAGAGAAAGAATGTGAGTAGGCACATACGAGTGCAGTGGAGTCCAGAAGAGGACATGGAGTCCCTTAGGGCAGAGATAAAGCACTTGTCAGCTGTCTGAGGGAGTCCTGAAGGAGCACATGTGCTCTTGATTGCTGGGCTGTCTCTCTAGCCTCCATAAAGGGCATTCTGGCATAAAGCCATGCTATATAGAATGAAGCCTCTGGGTGACAGCAGCATTCGGCATCCATACATGGAAACACCCCTTTCAGGGAGGACTGGGCCTCATGTACTTAGCAGACACACTGATAGGACAGAGGACAAAAGCACAGGGAGCGAGCCCAAGTGTAAGTGATGGGAAAACAGGACAGTGTTTGGTAATCCAAGACAACTACGTGAACATAATATTGGCAATGATGGTCATAAAAATTCTAATCAGGGCTGGGGATGCGTCTCAAGGATACTTCACTTGCCCATAATACAAAGCCCTGGGTTCAATCCTGTCCCTTCAAATGCTAACCAGAATAGCAGGAGTGACTGCGTTTTAAAATGTTTCTCTGTGCCAGAGCCTCTGAATACATCTAACATTGACAACAACTGCATGGATAAATCACCTGAGGCTAGGGGAGGCTGCAATCACTGGTGAACATAGCTCAGCCAGGATATGATAAAACCCAATTCCAAGCCAGCTTGACTCCTGAGCTTTTGTTCCTTTCATCCCCCCATCCATAACCCCCACCCACAGTCACTTCCAGGACAAGATGAAACAGCCTAATTTTCTGTCTCAATGGGCCACAGCTCAAAAACCCTCCCTATCATTCATGACTCAAGGGAAGCCACATTCTTAGCTTTGGATTCAGAAGTCCTTTTCCTAGCCCTGTTCACAGCCACACCCCTGTCCCTGAAGGCTCTTTTGGTTCTCACTGCCAAGCTCCTTAACCACTTGTAGCAGGGCCTGATTATGGAGCAACCACTAAGCCATTAACTCCAGTTCTCTTTAATTAGAAGAGTAAGTCCTGGAAACCCAGGCAGTTCCTTTCTAAATCTCTAGCTGACAGTCAGCTTTAGCTGGAAGCAGAGTGATTGTCTTAACTACCAAAGGCTTGGCCAGCATCGAGGACTGCCCAGGCAGGGGTGGCAGAGTTGGAGGCACTGGCAGTCTTCCCTTAGCTACAGTAAGACTAGGCCCTTCCAGACCCGGGTCACTTGAGTGTGCCTGCACCGCTGCTGAGAACAGGCCTTGGTGACACAGGCCCTTCTAGCTCCAACCGAACATTCCTCACAGAAAACAACAAGATGTGCTGTAATAAACTGGGTATCTGGGTCCTTTCCAAACTCACACGTTGAACCCCGATCCCCCGTGTAACATCAAAAGACGGCACCTTTGGGGAGTGATTAGGCCCTGAGGTCGGAG